AACTTTTTCATGCGTCGCAATGAAATTTAAGAAGCTTCGAATTAATCAAGGAGTCCCCCTCCGATCACATTTCAATGAAATTGCACATTTTAAGTAAGTCAGTTTCAGATCCACCTTTGTTTCTTTCAATCAATTGAAGTTTGCTTTCTTAGATCAACAGATATATTATAATAGGAATATTTATTTTAAGTGATTAAAGGTGACTTAATAGTGAAATTTTCAAAAGTAACATGGTTATTTGGTAAAATATTTAAAACATAGCAAGCGTTCTCTTTAAACAATAAACTACAGTGAATTATCTTTAGATAGTAGTTACACCAAAATATGTAAAATATTGAAGTTTCAGGAATTGTTCGTTGTCGCTTATCAGTTAATACTGATAATCTGTTATACAACAATTATTGTTTTGTGAGGTACCGGGTTCCTAGAATTCCGTTCGTTCTTGCTGAAAAATTATAACCAGAATCCCAAAATTGCATTGATGCCAAATAAAAAATGTGACCACGCCAATTTCTTCTTCTGATTGTAATTTTGATGAATGCCGTCAGTCTTTATTTCCGTTCCGGATATGTACAGATATCATAGATATCATAGTTTTGACAGGTTTCTTCTTTACAAACCATTACTCTTTGTTTATCCTCCACATCCAAATATTGCACAAACCAAGCTCACAAACAAGTTTCTTCTATTTTCGCGCAATGCTTGCATCTTTTTCTATACACCATAATCCGGGATACCGGTCCGAAATCCGGTTAGAACATGTTTGAACAAGTTGTAAGCGAGTAACGTTTTGCATTGAACCTAAATATGCCCAAGAATCTACAGATCTACTGTAAGTCGCGTCATACATATGCCGGATTTGTACCTCGTAGATCGACCCCATTCTTTTGAACCCCAAAATTGGGCAAGCTTCTGAAATTTACAGTATCTCACAAATGAAAAATTACTCAAATCCACTACAGTAATGATACACGGCAAGGCAAAAAAGTAAAGGATGTTATTTTTTTTTCATCGAGCGTGGAAGTTTCAATCAATATTATTTGATCTCGTGAACAAACACTTGTTATAATACAAAATAGAATTTCCAATAAAAAATTGTATGGTTTGTCTTGGTTACAAGAGTTGTGAGTTTAGGTCTCGCTCATCCGCAATACGCTGTGCGAATCACTTCGGGGTACAAACGCAATGAAGGAATGAGGTTGCTTATCCGTGGTACGATGATGTGTACATTCATTTTTCATTGAGTTTAGATCAGAAAAATTCCTGAGAAGGCGAACATCTGATAACACAAATATAAATAAGCATGTCGTGTAATTTTCGGGAATGGTGTTCTTTTCATTCTGAGAGTGATTGCAAAAAAAAATTGATGATGCGATTATCTCTTGCTCCGAACTTTGATGGTCGTGGTGAAAACAGCCATCGCCGCAATAACGA